ACATGACCACCTCCGATTTAACCATGATGCAGGAGGATTACTGTGGACAGTCATGCCATCCCTCAGGTGTTCATTCCAGACAAGTGACCTCGAAACGGCGCTTTTTTAACTAGTCGTTTACCGACTTGATTCTTCATAAGTAACGACATTTCTGGACCACCGTGTCAACAGCCTATACCGAAAGCAGCTACGAAACATAGTTAAGTACGACACCACATTGTTAATCGCAGAATCTATGCAGAGTAGGAATGGGTGCCTGAAACTGTCCCAAAGGGAATAAGGAGAAATGATTCTAGGATCAGATGTACGCACCTGAGCACATTTTCAGAAGATTGAACCAGAAGTGACCTAGCGTTCCCGCTAGGTGGTTGGATAACAATTCGCTGACCTGATGATGGCCCTGTAAAACGCAAGCTGGCTGTTGTTTGAGGAGACTGCACGGTTCGGGCTCCACGTATGGCCGATTGGGTGTTCAGCAGAGCTGGTGACGTCGGACTGAGCACCACACTCATTGGAACGACGGAGCGAGAAACATTGGATGTTTGAATGATGCTGACGCTTCGAGTAACTACCGGGAAATTCTTAACGCTCTGAAATCCAGCCAAAGACGATCTAGGACCCGAATGTATGTATGACACGCCGGTGCCGGAAGAAGAAACGACTGAACTGGTAACCAGCGACGGTTGCTTCGTTGGTCGTTGCTGCTGAGGAGTTGTGAACACGGACATAGAGGGACTAGCTTCCATCGACAAAGAAGCGGCCGACGGTGACTTCGAAATCTCGGCTGATTGCCATCTGGACGCGGGAGTCGTCCCGTAAGTAGTTGAGCCCGATTGCACAGATAAACCGTGGGAACCGGAACTGTGGCTAGGAAGTGTAGTTTCAGAACTTGAAGGTGAAAACTCGTCCTCAGGATCCTGCTCAGACCAGAGGTTGGAAACGCATTCGACCTACAAAAACGAATAACTAGGGGAATGAAATTGAAAACTGAAGAAAATGATTGGATATGAACGTGACAAAGTCGCACGAAAAACAAGAGAACTATGGGAGATTCAGCTGGGGTTCAG